TTTTCATAGGACTTTCTTTTATGATTTCTCATATTTTTTTCTAGTGTGTATGCGTTCGATCGTTCAAACTTTACACAGATATGACATGTTTTTCCTATGCTTTGTTGTTTCTTTTTTTTTTTTGTTTTCTTGGGGGGGGGTTGACAGTTTATAACTAGCTGTTGGTTATATGGGGAGAGGTGTGTCGCGCTTCTTTCACGAATGATTCCGCAGGTTTTATTGTAAATTTCTGATTTTTCTATAACCCACCTCCAAAAAATGGCCTATGCCAGTGTCATCGCGTGTGATTAGGTGAAGGCCGTTCTCATAAGAGTATTTATAAGATATATTTATCGCCCTCTACTCCCACTCACTCAAGAGAGAGGGAGAGAAAGAGAGAGATAGAGGGCGTGAGTGAGTATGAACAGACCGAAAGGAATAGATAGATAATATGCTACATATTAAGTAAAATTTGAGAAGAACCATGATTGCCTACGCCATGAAAGAGTTCGGCATATAAAAGAGAATGATAATAGTAGTAGTAAGATACAAAAAATAATAGAATAGAAGGTATACATAATAATCTTAATAATAATCATATTGAGATAGATAGATAGATAGATAGATAGATAGATAGATAAAAGGAAATGAAAAAGAGACAGATAGATAGATAGATAGATAGATAGATAGATAGATAGATAGATAGATAGATAGATAAAAGAAAATAGAAATGAGATAGATAGATAGATAGATAGATAGATAGATAGATAGATAGATAGATAGATAAAAGGAAATGAAAAAGAGATAGATAGATAGATAGATAGATAGATAGATAGATAGATAGATAGATAGATAAAACAAATGAAAAGAGATAGATAGATAGATAGATAGATAGATAGATAGATAGATAGATAGATAGATAAAACAAATGAAAAAATAAATAGATAGATAGATAGATAGATAGATAGATAGATAAAACAAATGAAAAAGAAATAGATAGATAGATAGATAGATAGATAGATAGATAAAACAAATGAAAAAGAGATAGATAGATAGATAGATAGATAGATAGATAGATAGATAGATAGATAGATAAAAAATGAAAAAGAAATAGATAGATAGATAGATAGATAGATAGATAAAAGGAAATGAAAAAGAGATAGATAGATAGATAGATAGATAGATAGATAGATAGATAGATAAAACAAATGAAAAGAGATAGATAGATAGATAGATAGATAGATAGATAGATAGATAGATAGATAGATAGAAAAAAATGAAATAGAAATAGATAGATAGATAGATAGATAGATAGATAGATAGATAGATAGATAGATAGATAGAACAAAATGAAAAAGGAATGGAGAGGAAAATAGATAGATAGAAACAAACAAATCCGACTCCATTAGAAAATTAAGATAATTCCGAACTGGATCCGAACCCGTAATCCTGAAATTATGGATTCCCAAGTTTACATTACTTCGATTGTTTTCGGCGATTTTGTATGTAATTTTTTGCGATAATTTTTTTATATGATAACAATTTTTATAACTTGGAAATAAATTTGTGAATAATCAAAATTCATGGAGAGATCAAGCGAACATCACCCATGAAATAAAAAAATCATTGTTTGTATGGAAATAAGGACCTACGTAAATCAAATCTTCTTTAATTTAAGTCGCAACAAAAGAATTATCGTTGAACTTTTAAAAGGTAAGCTTAAATATTAATGCAATACTTAAATGTAGCGATCAATTTTGAGTTCATCTATAGTTTATTGTTGCCTATTGCATCTTCTCCTCCCTAACTATTGCGATGAAGGCCTAATCAAGAGTCTTCCACATGAGTAATTAAATACCGCCCGATAAGCGAGTATATATATATATATATATATATATATATATGTGTGTGTGTGTGTGTGTGTGTGTGTGTATGTGTCTGTTTGTGTCTGTGCATGTATATATATATATATATATATATATATATGTTTTATTATATATTATAATATATCTTATATCTTATTATTTTTTATATCTTTTTAAATTAGGATATAGAATTCGCGACAGAGTTTTTAAATCTTGACAAATGGAAACGTTTCATGAAATAGATTTGATTGAAAATAGATTTGATAATGCATTTCGCCATTCAAGGCTTCATCAGATCCGAAAATGAAAGAATGAAATATATATATATATATATATATATATATATAGTGGGGGAATAGAACTGAGAGGTTAAAGTCTGTTTGAATCTGAAAAAGAAAACTGAGAATAGGATTATAAAAGTGTTTTGTGAAAGTTATAGAAAGTGTCTGAAAGAGAAAAATAGATTATATGTGTCTGTATTAGAGAGAGAATCTGGTTGAAGAATATAAGTGAGAGAGAGGGATAATAGTGTTGATTACGTAAGAAACAGGGAGATGGAAAGAGAAAAAGCGAGAACATACGTGTTGATGTGGGGGAGGGGAAAAGAATAGAGGTAAGTGAAACTATATTTGAATGTAAAAAAAAGGGATGGGAAAAAGATAATTTAAATCGAACTTTGTGTGATAAGGAGAGAAAAGTGCTTGAGTGAAAGAGTGAGTATGCATGTATATTTATGTGAGAGAGAGAGAGAGAGAGAGAGAGAGAGTGTGTGTGTGAATATGTGTTAGCGATAGATTGAATGTAAAGGAGTTAATGGTTTCAGAGAAAAATGGCGAAGAGCGAGAGAATGGATGACTGAAAGAGAATGTTCATGCGTATATAGGAAGAAGTGATTAAGTGTGAGTGATTATGCGTGTCTGCGAGAATTCGTGTGTGCGTGTGCCCGAGAGAAAGATAATCGAGGTAGGTGAAAATGTGAATGGGGAAAATGAGTGACAAAAAGAGAATGGCATTATACCGAAATATTGTCTGCCCGTGCGTGCGTGTGTTTTCATGAAAGAGTCGATGAAGCTACATGTAGTAGGTGTATTTGCCTGCAGGGTAGAACGGAATTTTAATAATTATAGCGTTTTGTTGCACATCCATTTTTTTATTATTCGTCTACGAAGTGAAGTATTGACCAGGTAGGTGAGGTTGACGTCATAAAGAAACATTGTAAAAATTAGTTGATGGGGGGGGTAGCAAAAATAAATAAACACTACACACGGACCGCCCAAAAAGTGTGTGTGTGTGTATATGTATATATATATATATATATATATATATATATCTCTCTCTCTCTCTCTCTTCTTCCTCTCTCTCTCTCTCTCTCTCTCTCTATATATATATATATATATATATATATATATATATATATATCTCGATTCTCCTGTCGAATTCGAGGGTCAAACAGATCAGTTCTCAGGAAACCGACAGCCCTACAATAGCACATATGAGATTTGATTATAGTGGCGAAGGTTTTTCGTGCAGGACCATCCACACTTTTTTTGAAGGCCAAATTCAGAAGCCTGGTGCACTAAAGTGCCACAAGGACCCCAAACGACCCTCCGCAGGTTTTGAATTCAGAGTTGTCCTTCTCCTAGACCAGTTACCATCCAAAGCCATAGAACCCAGTCTGTCCTGCATTTTACCCAGAGCTGGAGGGAGAAGAAGAGGATTCACACCTTTCCCAAGGGTATTAGCATGTAAGTGAATGTAATGGATTCGACTGGAATTCGGCTCTCTGATTCCTCAATCCAAGCCGCTATCCATTACTCCCCTGTGCCTGCCTATCTATCTATCTATCTATCTATCTATCTATCTATCTATATATATATATATATATATATATATATATATATATATATATATATGTATATACATACACAGGACCGGTGCGTACTATCATTGAAACGATGGCTGTAGGCCCCAGACTGTGTGTCTTGTGACACAGGCTATGTTATCAACATTTGTTTTTTATGACGACATTTATGTACGTTACAAATTAAACTATGGACAACTCAGGAAAAAATTCCCGTCAGCTTGTCAATGGTAAAACGTTTGATTTCTATGCCCTATAATAATATATTGAGCTCTCCTTTGTGGATCAGTTTTAATATTTTATATTAATAGGATACACTTGGATTATTTACCCACGGATTTTTACCTCCTGTATATATATATATATATATATATATATATATATATATATATATATATATATCACAATTTTCTTACTAATTAATAAATTTTACTATTTAAACATCAATTTTTTTTAATTAATACGCTAAAAAAGCAGAATAATGAATGAGAATAATGAATGAGATCTCTTATGCGACGAATCTCTTGAGGGCAGAGGATCGTTCCCTCGCCCCCCCCCCACACACAACTTTGTACCCTTAACCTTTAACTTTAGCAATCTTTCCTTCTTCCACTCTTGCCTTCAATACATCGTGTGGGTGTCAAGTTCTCCAAGCCTTCCTTTCTCTTAGAAATATCAACTGTCTTTTATTTTAAGAGTTCTTTTTTTTTTTGCTATTTTCCTTAAAATATCCTCATTATTCACATGCTCTGTTCATGTTATTCTGAGCAACCTTCTTAACGAGTCCCTCTCTGTTGCTTCAAGTTTTCTATAAAAACGCTTCTCAAGCTTTGAAAAAAAAAAAAAGCTAGATTTAGAAGCATCGCAACATTTTTTAATGTAACCTGAAAAGGTATGCCATGTTTCTATACAGGGCGTGAACGATCATTGCTTTCCACTATTTTCTGTTTCATGTATCCCTAACTAATGCATAACCAACTCTACTCTCCATAGGTAGGACAGTCGCTTTCTTTCAATCACTGATTCGTTTTCTATTGCTTATAAACTCTTTGTGGGTTATTTAAAGCCAGATTTTTTTTTTAGATTGCAAGAATCCTATTTTTTTTTTATATATATTAATTATTTAATGATAAAAGTCTTACTAATTAGCTGTGGGAGAAGATGTTCAATCATGCCTTTTCGAAAGGCCTTTGCGCGTAAGTAAATATAACGAACATCACCGAAATTGGAACTCTGCTCTCCGATTAAAAAAATACGAGCCATTATCCATTACACCACCTGCACATTCAAACTTACAGGATCCGATATTCCCAAGAGGTCACATATCTAACTATTGACTAGGCTCCACGTCGCTTAACTTCGGTGATCGTACAGGAACTGACGCTACAACGTGATATGGCCGTAAACCAGTCACTTTCTCATGCTTCCGCTTCTTGTCATGTGAGTATAAAATTTTACAAGCTGTCTTTCTTCATAATGTCTCCTACGATTTAAATAGGCCCCTAATGTATAAGTGCCTTTTATTTTCCATTTTATTTAAAATCTTTCTCGTTGCTCACATGCATTTGTCTATTTTGTTCTCAGTAACTGCCTGTAGACAACACATTTTCTTTTGGCTTTGCGTCTTCTTCATTTGTAAATAAATTGTTTAACATTAACTGGTATGTAGGGATTAGATATTATATAACAGTTTAGTGCTATTTTTTATGTTACCAGCGATATTTTCCTATCGCTTAATAAATTGCTTCGTTTGGCGATGGCATCTTTTGCTATTTCTCTGCGCCTTCGTATTTATGTGTCACCCTTTCCTTCGTCTATTACTCCACTGCCGAGATAATCACATTTCTGCACCCGCTTGCTTTTGACGTTACCAAATCCTAAGCTCAAACCTTACTCATGAGCGGACATTCAGTGTTCTTTCATTTAATAATCATTCTTTCTTTTCTCTATTAGTTATTGGAGTTTTTCCTTGTGAGACTGTCATCTGCGTAAGCTTCGTCCAGGCTATTTGTAGCTGAGTCTCTTGCAAGGAGGCACAGTGGAGTAAAGGATAGCGATGAGACGTGATGAAACGGAAAGCCGAGTTCGAATTCCAGTCGAGTTGAATGGTCTGATGATCGATATAGGCGGAAAACTCCTAGTCACTATGGTATGTCGACTTGTATTTCTATATCCACACTATTTTTATTAACCTGCTATACCAGATATTAAACATTCTCTCCCCTTAAATAAGGCTTTCCTATATATATATATATATATATATATATATATATATATATATATGCGACGCGTTTAAGTACAAAACAGACCTTTAGAAAAAAATAAAAGGATAAAAAAATAAATAAATAAAATAAAACAAAATTCTCTAGACACATATTATGGTGCCAAAAGCTATCTTTCGCTGTGACTAACCAGACAATGTGCGCATATGAATGCAATCATTCGCTTTGAAATGGATACTCCGACCCTACCTCGGATTGACCTCGTTCCAACTGTGACTGATATGTGGATAAATATTATCTGTTAGACCCCTTACCAAAATGGTCGGCCCTGCCGTTTCCATAATAATTAATTTTGCGAATGATCATGCTTGTAAAGATGCGTAAATTTCAAGATTGGCTATTCCTGAATTTTCTAGTTAAATTTTAATTAATTTTGGTGTTCTAATTAATTGTGCGAATGATCAAGCTTATAAAGATGGGTAAATTTCAAGATTGGTTATTCCTGAATTTTTGATAAAACCATGTTTTATCTACGGAGGTAAATTAGTTCTGAAACAATGTAAACCCTGAATAAGCAAAGAGAAAAATTATATAAGAAAACCTGTGCTGGAATTAATTAAGGCCTACCTCCTACATGTTGACCCTAAAGTTCGGATAAATATGTAAAAATGTCTATTGTCAGGTGTTTTGACCAAAGATGTTGTGACCAAGTAAATGGTTAAAGAAATAAACAAGTGTTGCAGATAGATCATATACTAAACAGTAAGTACAACATAAGAGTATTACACGCCTAGTGTGTGTGTCAGTTGAGACAGCGTTCTATCTATTCGACTGTTCCCCCAAGGCCTTCTCTCCTACTAATCTTATAGTAGGCGGAAGAGTCCGACATAGACGCTTTAGAGGGAGGACACCACAACATCAGGAAATTCAATTTTCTACATTTAATTGAATTGAAATATTAACAAATAACATTTTCAATATGATGTCCATCATTTGTGATGCAAAGTTTGATGTATATTGCAAGATTCACGTAAACTAGATGCAATAACTCCATATTGCTGTCAATTTTATCACATTGAACTCTTTATGCGTTTAATCACGTGTGCTGCATGTGTGATTTCCATTGCTTCTCATTTAGCATAGCTCAGAAAAAAGAAGTCAGTTCTTTCTTCTTTCAATAAAACCATGTTTTATCTACAGAGGTAAAAAAAAGATAGTAAATGACATTTCCTATGTTTTCCAGACTTTAGGTACACGTAGTATACTGTCCAGGTGTCCTTATTTGATCACAATTATAAACGTTTTCTCATTTGACCAGATAATCGTCTACATGTGTTTGCAATGTGTCAGCAATGTGCTTGGCACGTTAAGTCTTACTCCAAGTTTTCAAATTCTCATCGGGCAGCATTTTCTTCCTGTCTGTATTTCGGTTTCTGCCGATGCCACTTTTGGTTCTTTGAATGTTTTGCAGAGCATAAGTCCTCTTTTTCTTGATTCTATAAATTCTTCTTTGAGGTTACTTAATGGTAGTTGTAAAGCATTTGTACAAAATTTATACAATTTTATGCTATTAAACATATTCGTACTCCAAGCCATATTCTGGAGTGTCCATGTATTATTCTTTCCATGTTTTCTAATATTGCTACTGTTGTTTCATATAGATTAAAGGGTCACAATAATCTAGGAGACACGGTGAGTAATGGAATCCGGCACGGATTGAGGAATAGGAGATCCGAGTTCGAATTGCTGTTGATTTCGTTACATTCTCTTACGTGCTAATACCCGTAGGAAAGGTATGAATCCATCTCTTCTGTCACATCTATGGGTAAATAGCAGGACGGAATGGGTTCTATAGCCTTGGTTGGCAATCTGTCTAGGAGAAGGAAAAATTTGAATTCAAACCAGTCTGGAGAGGATCAGCTATCTTGCCCAAGAAACACCACTTCTACTGCGGCAGCAGTAGAAGTAGTGTTTTAATTAATTTAAGAAAAGAACTGACTTCTTTTTCCGGGCTATGCTAAAAGAGAAGCAATGAAAATCACACATGCAGCACACTTGATTAAACGCATAAAGAGTTTTATGGCAATATGGAGTTATCGCATTGAGTTCACGGGAATCTTGCAAATGACATCAACCTTTGCATCACAAATGGTGGACATCATACTGAAGATTTTATTTGCTAATATTCCAAAATATTGTTAAAAATTTCATTTCTTTAAAATATCATTTTTGCCTATGTTAGGGACAACCTGTATATAACATTATCACTTGAATTCCCTTACAGCTGACAGTGTATCGGCAGAAATAGTCATTTTATTTTTGAACACTGCTGTTTTCAAGAGGTTTATCGCCCAGGAGGAAAAATATTTTCTGTTTGTTTCTTTTTTATTTTTGTTTTTGTTTTTTGTTGTTTTTGTGTGTCTGTGTGTGTGTGTATTTTAAATTTCTTTTGAATAAATAACTTAATCTTCACGAAACAGTCCAAGACAGCCCAATTAATGGAGCGTTCATTATTTTGTGCCTCAATTGATTGGGCGAGTAATTTTCTGATACCTATATATATATATATATATAAATATATATATATGTGTGTGTGTGTGTGTGTGTGTGTGTGTGTGTGTGTGTGTGTGTGTGTGTGTGTGTATTTCTACAACTCTTAGATTTCGACACAATAGAATAAGTTGTACAACCTACGTAGAGTTTTTGCAATACCCAGGGAAAGATCTCATTATGCTCTAATTACAGTAAAATTGTCGATTAAAGGTTTTCAACTGTCGAGTCGATTCCTTATTGTTTGTTTTCTCCTAAAAAACAACGAATACAAAGCCTTAAGTCTTCAGGACGAAACTAAGAAACAAAATAGTGATTTAAATTCTCGAATGTAATAGGCAAGTTGTAGGTACTTGAGATCCTAGAAATAAATCGATCATTTTTCTTTCGTTTCAATTTTTACTTTTTTGTTATTATTTTATCGTGCCTCGTTCGGTGTTTCAATTTCTTTCCCTCATTTGTCTTGCCTTTTCGTTCCTTTTTTTTGCTCACCCGCTTCTTCATTCGATTTAATTATTATTCATCTTGTCTTTTATTTTTGGTTTCGCTACTTCAAAAGAATTGCCTCATTCTATGATTAATTCTCGTTTCTTCCTACTAAGAATATTTGTCTTCCTTCTTCCATTTTTCTTCTTTTGTTTCTCTCCTGTGTTCCCTACTTTTTACTTCCCGTTCATTTTACCGTATATTCTCGAGTATAGTACGAGATTTTATGATCAGTGTTTTACGCAAAAAGTAAGGGTCGCATTATACACAGGTAATTTTTTTAAATGTTAAAAATGTATTTTCGATGAACTTTTTTTTCTGGAGGGGTTAAAATTGATTCAAATAAATTCAGACATTCCACTGTATATAACATCGGCTTATACATGAACATATACAGTACTTATTTGCTTTTTTATTGTTGTATCGTGTTGTTTTATGACACGTGATTAATAGCCAACTTCCTAACTTCTGACGCTTCCACATTATTTATCCTATAGACAATATATGCAAATAGGTAAAATCCTATTTGCCAATCCCACTACATTTATTTTGTATTATTCACCTCTCCTGTCTGCTTGCTTTTCTTGCTTGTTTTCTTTTCGTCTTTTCTTTCTTTCTGTTTTTTTTTTTTTAATTTGTCTCCTTCAATATCTTTCTCTTGATTTACCTTCTATTTTTTTCATTTCGTCTTGTTTATTTTTTCCTTCTTTGTCTTGTATTATTCTTTCTTAATATTTTCTTTGATTTATTCTTCTTTCTTGTGTACTTCATTTTCATCCTTCTTACTTTTTTCTCATTCTTTTTTCTTTCTAATTTTCTTCTTTTTCTTTTCCTACTTCCTTTTTTTTCTGTATTTCTGTCTTTCTTTTTATTTCCATTTTTCATTTCTTATTTTTCGTTTTCTTTCATTGTTATTCTCTTGTCATATTCAATATTTTTTCTTTCTTTCTTTCTTTCTTTCTTTCTTTCTTTCTTTCTTTCTTTCTTCACACAGTTTCCTTTTCTCTCCTTCTCCGTTATTATCCTTATTTTTACTTAATCTTTCTTTGTTTCTTTGCTAGTTTCTTTCTTTTTCCTTTGTTTGTTTCTTTATTTCATTCTTTCTTTCTTAACCCTTTCCTTTCTAGCCTCTTTCTACCTTTATCTA